CGTGGTAGCCAACACTAAAGGCCGAGTTTACCTGTTATCACCTCTAACGACAAGTGTTTTACACTGTTGTGCTATTTTTCTTTGTTAAGGGCTCTGTGAACACGTGGCATCGTCGACCGGGTCGCTCACTGGCTCGCCGGTAGACGATTTCGTCGCCGGTCGGAACAGTATTTGGATCTGTCCCGTTTGATCGCATCAACACTGTCGGAGTCCTGTTCAAGGTTCTTGGTGGCGAGCAATGCTAAACCATTTTATATTGCGCACGGAACCTGGTCACAATTATAACCTAAAGCTTCTTCTCTTCGGGGATGCTGTTGAAACTTAAAGATTATTATTATTTATTTTGTTGTTGAGCAAAGCATCGGATCGGATCGTGAACACCCGGAAAGCGATTAACAGTCCCCCAACATTCCAAATTTCGACTTCCACTTTGGGCGATGTAGACACAGACCGTTCTGGTGGTGTTCAGACAATGGTACATGAGTTGCATCGTAAAAAAAAGACGGTGGTTCCACCACGTAATGATCTTAAACGCAACAGTGGAAGTAGGTATCTAATTTAGTCATCCTGCATCGATCGAGCAGTCTGTCCCCTCCGAGCGGATACCTGAAGATTTACCATACCTTCCTAAGATCCTAGATAGCCGGTTCAACCTCAAAAGACGTTATAATTAGCGCACTTGTAAAGGTTACACTGGCCAGGTGTCACCTGCAGTCTTATGCGGGTAGAGACGGACGAACACGGACAGACGCACACAAACGGACGGACAAACACGGACGGACGCACACAAACGGACGGACGAACACGGACGGACGCACAAAAACGGATGGACGCACACAAACGGACGGGCAGACGAACACGGACGGATGCACATGCACGCACAGACGGATGGACACACACGGATGTACACGGACAGAAGCACATGGAGGGATTTACACGGACGAACGCACATAGATGGACAGACGAACATAGACGGAGGAACACGGATGTACGGACGCGCACGGACGTACACAGACGGACGCACATGGACGGACGGACTCACACAGACGGACGTGTGTTCCCCTCTTCTTCTTCTTCACTTCCTCTTTTACCACTGTGGGTGTCGAGGGAGATATAAGGTTCTGTTTATAGCTCTTCTGGCTGCCTCGACCATAGGCACATCGTGCTGTTGTAGAGTTTCTCTGATGTTATCCTTCCATCTTGTTCTTGGTCTACCCCGTGCTCTACGTCCTTCTTCTCTTTCCATGTATGCTTTGTATGGTATGGTGTCACAAGGCATTCTCTCTAAGTGGGTAAACCATTTCACTTGCTGTCTTTGTATCTAATCCAGAATTGGTTCTGTGCCGACTTGTTCTCTACTGATCTCATTCCTGATCTTTTCTCTTATGGTCACTCCTACAGCCCTTCTCAGACATCTCATTTCCGTGGTTACTAATTTTCCCTCAAGGACTGCAAACTCCAGGATTAAAATCGAACAGGTGTGAATCCCGGAAACATCGTTCACTGTACAACTCAGTTATATTGGGGCACCATAGAACGGCTGGGAGTCGCCGTGGTGTAGCGGCTACACGTCCGCCTGCTGATCGGAAGGTCGTAGGTTCGAGTCCTGACGGAACCAAGCTGTCTTGAAAAATGACCTTAGCTCCCAGGTCGACACAGCCTTAATGGGGTAGCAGGTACAAGTCCTGGGAAGTAAATGTGGCCGGCGTGATGTTGACCACATCACCTACTAAGTGTACCGACTGGTCCATAAAAAAGAGGTCCAGCCCTATTTGCCCAATACGCCCAAAGAGGTCCTTAACGTTAATTTAGTTTGAAAGTCACCCGTAGCGAAGTGGTCTAGCCTTGTGCATTGTACTATCTTCTTCTTCGTTCACCGGCTGTGAATTCCGGCGGAAGGTCCCGGTTTATCGTCCGCTTGGACTTTTGGCTTTTACCTGGACCTGAGTTTTGCGTGTACAACAGTTTTGCTGTTCCCTGCCTCGTGGGCAGCTGTATTCCGACTTCGAGGGAAGCATTGTACTATGAAGGTCGTTTGTTTGTTTCACGGCGGCGCCCTCTAGGTCACGAGTGCAGTTTTTACGGAGATTCTTGGGGATCGTCGCCGGAGCTACAGAGGTCGTGCTCTGTACGACGCGCTCGGCTGGCAGCTAGCCATAAGGGATAAAACCTGATGCAGTAAAGTCGATCCTCTCACCTTGACCCTTACCTTACTTTACTTATACAAAGGTAACCAGCTAACATGTGGCTCAGTGTGGGTGGGTCTACCAATAACACGATGAGTTACACTGTAGAGCAAGAATTCGCGAGCCAAGACTGCAGTTGCCAGTTTGGTCACAAATATAAAGTGTCATGCATTGTTTGGCAGACCTGAAAGATTGAAGAAATTAGCCGAACACAGACCTAGAACGTGACTGAAATGTGCAAAAATAAAAAATGAAGCACAATTGCAGTAAATTAGACCTGAAAGCGAATGTATACAGCTGGCGGGGTGGTAGTTGTGCTTTGGCGTCCGGAAATGGTTCCACGGGAGTCGTGGTGGCGAAGGAGTTAGACGCTGGGCTGTGGGTCTGAAAGTCCTGCGTTCAATTGCGAAACCGGGCCGTTATGATAAACACATGTATATTATTATTTTATGTGTCCTTGTTCGTGTTTGTGGCGTTGTCTGTTTATGTACTGTGTTGATGACGATTTTTTCAGCCGCAACGTTCTTTTGTCGTTTGTGGTTGTGATAACGTAAAGGTAATTAAATTAGTTCTACTTACGTTTGGTTTTCTCTTTTTAAGATGAGTTATTAAATGTTTCTGTGTGCGCGAGCGCAATTGCGTACGTGTGTGTCTGTGTGTGCGTGTGTGTGTGTGTGTGTGTGTGTGTGTGTGTGTGGATGGTAAATTTAAAGTTCATGGGATCGATTTGATTGCACCGGGTTAGATCCAACATGATTCAGTCTCTCTCCGCAGAACTAGCACCTGCCCGAGTGCATCCTTCAGCCATAACCCCCAGGGACTTCGAAAACATTTTACTTCCTATATCATTTTCTCCTTCTTATTCTCCTTCTCCTTCTTCTTCTTCTTCTTATTCTTCTTCTTCTTTTCTTCTTCTTCTTCTTCTTCTTCTTGATCTTCTTCTTCTTCTTCTTCTTCTTCTTTTTTTGTTCTTCTTCTTCTTCTTCTTCTTCTTTTTCTTCTTCTTCTTCTTCTTCTTCTTCTTCTTCTTCTTCTTCTTCTTGATCTTTTTCTTCTTCTTTTTCGTTGTCGTCGTTGTCTTCTTCTTCTTATTCTTGATCTTTTTCTTCTTCTTCTTCTTCTTCTTCTTCTTCTTCTTCTTCTTCTTCTTCTTCTTCTTCTTCTTCTTCTTCTTCTTCTTCTTCTTCTTCTTCTTCTTCTTCCTCTCCTACTCCTTATTCTTCTTCTTCTTCTTCTTCTTCTTCTTCTTCTCCTCCTCCTACTCCTTCTTCTTCTTCTCTTCTCCTTCAACTTGTTCTTCAGCTTCTTCGCATTCACTGGATGTAAACTTTGGCGAAAAGTGTTGGCTGTTCGTCCACCTCTGGACTTGAGTCTTGTTTCAGAACCTGAGTGTTGAATGAACATCCGTTTTACAGATCTGACTTATTTTGTATGCAGATTGTTGATTCCCTACTTTTCAGGCACACGCACTCCGACTTCGTAGGAAGTCCACAATTAGTCGACTCTTACGACATGCTTGTTGGAGAGGCAGTGGGTCTATTACCCCCCCCCCCCACTCCCCCCCCCCCCCCCATAATGGAGCCCCAGAACCCACACGGAGAACACTCGTAAAATAAACGAACCCACCAGATTCAGAGAGCATGGCAAATGGCTTAACAGCTTTGCTACTGAGAGCTCCTTATGTAGATGTATCATTGTCGATGTGCCTGTGTGCCGAAGATGGCTTTTTGCCGCAACATGCAGACAGTCCTTCGTAATTATGTTGTTTTTGGGACACCGACTTGTTATGCTATTCGTCTGGGTAGCGTTTTTTGCGGTTTTATTTTCTAAAAAGTGATCTGGGGTTTCCAAGTCGACCTATCCTAAAGTGGAAACGAGGAAATTTCCTTGAACTACTACTACGCCACCACATAGAGCAGAGATCTCCAACATGGTGTGGAGTGGGGGGGGGGGGGCGAAAGGAAGTCCCAAGCAATTTCACAACTAAACTAAGTACATTTGTAATTAGGCAGCCGCTGTGGTGTAGCGGCTAGACGCTCGCCTGCGGATCGGAAGGTCGTGGGTCCAGATCCTGAGAGGAGCCGGACTTTCTCTCTCCCTCCAAAAATGACATTGGCTCCCAGGTCGACCCAGTCTTGAGTGGATACCAGGTATAATCCTGGGAAGTAAAGGCGGCCGGTGTGGTGCTGACCACATCACCCACCAAATGCCGTCTGGTCTATAAAATATAGGTCTAACCCTATATACCCAACACGCTTAAAGGCGTGGAAAAGGGTCCTTTACATTAGCAATTGTAAAAATGTGTATGCTTTTTATTCAACACACACACACACACATATACACACAAGAACGGTATTGTTTTCTATGGCACTGGTCGTGAACCTAGGGATTGAAGCCGGCGTGGATAGGGCTTCCACAAAAAAGGGTTGAGCCCTGGTCTTTTGCATTAAAACCCAATGCTTTTACTCCCCCCCCCCCTCCCACCCACTTCCGGCCAGCCGCTTCTCATGAAACGTGCAAAGCCAGGAGATGTAAGCTGTTTGGCTGGGCACTATAAATATCGCAACCCTTCAGCCTTGATTCCACGATAGATACCGCAAATCTGGGAAATATGTGGCTCCTCTGACTTCCCCGGGGCGTGAACTCGGACCTCAAGGAGTTTGTCACCTGGTCGCCGCTCAGCTGGTTTAACCAACTTAGCTAGCGCGCCGGACCGAAACGCTCATTAAACTCTCCTAACAGAACCATACATCATGATTACATAAGCCCAAAAAAAAAAAAAGTGCTAAATTCCGGATCGTTCCCTTTCCACAGCGGCCAAAACCTACTGGTGAAAGACGTCAATTCAACCTTATATTACCCCGGAAGTAATTCCGGCTACCATGACCTTCACCTGGAGATACCCTCAAATGTCTCCTGTCAGCACTGCATTCTACAATGGACATACGTGACAGGTAAGGCTTTAGCTAAGACAGCGATGTAAGAATACACTACAAGCACATAGTTTCCCATAACAGGTGTTTTATTCAAGTATTGGAGTTAAAAATTAAAGTTATGCACCATCCGGGGAGCTAACAGATTGCAGAGGGTTGGGATATATAGAGAGAAAAGCAGATAACAGAAACACCACGATACTGTGCACAAGAGTTTAATGATAGTAGAAGAATGCATACCTAAAAGAAAATGTAGAAGAGAAGGCCAAAGAAGAAAAGAAGAAGAAAGAGAAAGGAGGATGAGCAGCAGCAGAAGAAAGAAGAAGAAGAAAAATAAGAAGAAGAAACAGAAGAAGAAGGAGAAGAAAAAGGCCAAAGAAGAAAAGAAGAAGAAAGAGAAAGGAGGAGGAGCAGCAGCAGAAGAAAGAAGAAGAAGAAAAATAAGAAGAATAAACAAAGAAGAAGAAGAAAAAGAAGAAGAAGAAGAAGAAGAAGAAGAAGAAGAAGAAGAAAGAGGAAGGAGGAGCAACAGCAGCTGAGGGAAGAAGAAGAAGAAGAAGAATGAGGAGTAGTAGAAGGAGAAGGAAGAGAAGGAATAATAATAACAATAACTCTCAAATCGTCTATTCTCTATCTCTAAGTTTATGCAGATGCAGTACTTGTTTTCTAGAAAAAAAAAAGGTGCTGGAACCCACCATAAAAGTGTCTTTATAAAGTGCTGGCACAAAGTTTCTATCACAGTAGTGCTAAAAATGACTAAAAGGATGCCAGTATTTCGTACCATCAAAAGCAAAATCACTCTGGATGCGTTATATACATCTATACTATTTTTACTGGTTTCAGGTTACAGAGAAGGAAAGAATGGACAGTGTCCCCCCTGTCTCGGATGTGGTCCGCAGGAGCAGTATAAGAATTGTGCTGATATACAGGTGAGTTTGTAAGATTTCTTGTTGAGCATAGGGTTACCACTGCAGCCAGGAGTATTACTGTTTTTCTGTCTGTTAACTGTTAGTTGGTTAGTTAGGGGGTGTCCGCCTCAAGTGCTATAGGTTCCAGGTTCAATCCCCGGTAAGGGCTGGGTTTTTATTTTCACGTGGACTTTGACTTATAGTAATTCTCCCTGGTCTCTAGGTAGTCAGATCGGACACCCGTGTGTATTGTTGCACACGTAAAAATATCCCTAGGCAGTTCGAAATCGAAAACAATAGCCTAATGGTGCTTTTATGCTTTAATGCTGGGATTTCTACGCATTCTTCTTCTCAAAGTCAATGCTGAGTAGTATTGGTAGACGTGTCTATCCACAGCCTTCTGTCTGGTGAACTTTTAGTCAACTCTGACACTGATGATCCTCCATGCCATGATGTCAAACTGTCCAGCATCTGTTCTCTAGGTTTCCCTCTGCCTCTCCTTCCCTCAAACTTTCCTAATGTCACGATGTACTGCAGTTGTCTCCTTCTCATCACATGACCAAAGAATGTAGATTGTCTCTTTCTGATGTGGGTAATTAGTTCTCTTTGTAGGTCAGTTTCTTTCAAGAGATCTTAATTTCTCTTTTTATCTGTCGCAAGAGATAATCAAGATAAAAACCAACAGCTAATGTCACTATAGTGGAAATCAAAACTAGATAACATTCAAAACTAGATAACATACAAAACTAGATAACATTCAAAACTAGATAACATACAAAACTAGATAACATTCAAAACTAGATAACATACAAAACTAGATAACATTCAAAACTAGATAACATACAAAACTAGATAACATTCAAAACTAGATAACATACAAAACTAGATAACACACAAAACTAGATAACATACAAAACTAGATAACATTCAAAACTAGATAACATACAAAACTAGATAACACACAAAACTAGATAACATACAAAACTAGATAACATTCAAAACTAGATAACATACAAAACTAGATAACATTCAAAACTAGATAACATACAAAACTAGATAACACACAAAACTAGATAACATACAAAACTAGATAACATAAAATCCTAACATGTAGTTAAGCATACAATGAATAAACATTAGACAACGTAGCAATTTTTTTCTTCTTAACGTTCTCTGGTTGTAAACTCCGGGGCAAAGTTCAGGATGTTCGTCTATTTCCGGACTTCAGTTTTGATCCACAACTTGAGTTTTTCGTGCACGTCCGTTTTTTACAAACCTAGTTTTTTTGTATGCAGACTGTTGGTTGCTCGCCTCTGTAGCAGATGCACTCCAGAATCGAATGAAAACAAAACAATAGAAAGAAACAGTATAGTTACTATACCAGAAAGTAGAAGAACGCTCAAAGAATTACAAGTTTCGTTTTTAATTTTGCAGATTTTACCGGAGGGCACACCGCCGGTAATAGACGAAACCGGAAGTCCACTTCTGACCACTGCCAGGCCTCAAGCTACAACTCTTCAAGTCAAACCAACAACAGTACCAACACCACCCATAAGTAGATCTACAACCACAAGAAGATCGACACCTCCGACCACACCCACAACCCCGCCTATAAATATCAACGCAACTACGAACCCAGGGAACGCCACTCCCTGTACTCCATCAGCAGACATCGTCATGTGTGAGGCCAAGGATATACAACGTTTAATCCCTGGTATGAACACATGGTGCCTAGAGAACTGCAAGTCCGGGCATTGCATGCCAGACTTCTGTGACTGCTACTGCGTGTACCCCGGGTACAAAATCTTTATCCATCCGACCGCTTTTGATTTAAAAACTACTTCAAGAAAGCCTCCTTCGCCGACCTCATCCTCGGCTAAGTACCACTGTTACAAACCCACATCACTGTGGAGCAGAACGCCAGGACTTACTGGCTGGTGCGCAAACAACTGCCCCAGCAAGTGGTGTGCTGATATGTGCTCTCTTCAAGTATGTCCTTGATGTTGCAGGAATCTTAGAGACATCTGTAAAAGCATCTACCGAATACTACTATTGGATCCAACAGTCTTGAAGTCTGAAGCTTCAAATCGGGACTGCACAGTCCCCACAGTGTGCCTATCAGACAGGACCACAAACATCTCAGCATATTCTGCAGACCTGCCCACTCTATCTACAACTTTGAAAAGAAATCTGGCCTTAAGAGCAAAGTGTGCAGAGCAAGCTACGGGGAACCAAGGTGGACCTGTAGCTGAATGACATGGGAGTTCACAGATGTAACCACCCAGATTGTCGGACCTAAGCATACGAAACTGATCACAAAGAAAAAGAAGAAATGGGGCTGAAAAAAGCAGCTGTCACCTAAAAGAAACAATAGACCAAAAAAGCATCTAAGAATTACTACTACTATGGTCAACAGTGTTGAAATCTGCTGCTTCCCAAGGGGGACTGACTAGGGCACCAGATCCTATGCTGCACACAAGCAGAATCCGTCCAGGTGGCAAATAGCAGCTCGAAAGAAAGAAAATAAAAACTGTGCAACTCAATTCAATGAACAAGCATTCTCATTTAAGATGCGTTAAAACTCATGATCAACTTATGGAATGACTAAAGAACATAGAATATGTGCCATCCAAATATTTTAACAGACCAGTGATTCTCAGTTTGTTTTAGGACTGAAGCTCATGGCTTCCTAAACTATACCCCGAGTACCTCTGTTCATACTTTCCCTCTATATATAATATTTTGTAAACTAACTGTAATTATGGATCATTAAAAGCCTTCCACTGCAGGAATGTGACTGCGCCAGTCAATTTGGTAAACAATGGCATAGATATACTTTCAGAATTACAATGTACACATTCTTCCTGAATATTTTTAAGTTGGGGCCTGAAAGTGATGAAGATGAAGAAGAAGAAGAAGAAGAAGAAGAAGAAGAAGAAGAAGAAGAAGAAGAAGAAGAAGAAGAAGAAGAAGAAGAAGAAGAAGAAGAAGAAGAACATGAACAAGAAAAAGAAGAAGAAGCAGAAGAAGAAGAAGAAGAAGAAGAAGAAGAACATGAACAAGAAGAAGAAGAAGAAGAAGAACATGAAGAAGAAGAAGAAGAAGAAGGAGGAGCAGGAGAAGACTGTATTCCATTTATGTTATGGTTTTGTTAATATTTGGCAAACTACTCTAGTTTCGTCTTTCATGTAAGCAAACTTACGCCAAACCAGCTGTTGACATGATTTGTTGGATCTGACCTTTCAGATGCATTACCGTATTTTTCTGTGTATGTTTTCCCCAAACATTGTCAGTTACAATGTTCGGTTGTCTTATGCACGCAATATGTTCAAAATATTTATTTCTTACATTTTTGTTTAAAAATAAGGGGGTTGTTCTATACATGAGCACGTCTTATACATGGAAAAAAAAAAAGTGTGTGTTCTATTGTTTTCTGTATTAATCATAATCACTCACTTGTGCCTTTTATACGTCACCTAGGCCCGGCTTTCTAGCATAGTTGGCTAAACCGGATTGCGCGGTGAGCGGGTGACGAACTCCTTGTGGTCCAGGTTCACTCCCGGGGGTAGGCAGAAAAGCTACATTTATCCCAGATTTACGGTATTTACAATGGAATCAAGGCCGAAAGGTTGCGATATCCATAATACCGAGCCTAAGGGTTAACAACTCATGGCTTCTGGATACTAAAACAAACAAACAAATACGTCAACTAGACCTAACAGTCTATCGTCCACCCCTTCTATCCTGCACAATCTCATGGATAGAACCATCCAGCTCTTAGGCCTCATAAACGTTTGTCTTGTGGTTTCTTTTGGGTACGCTCCTTTCCTCAGAGTCCATTTGTTTCCCAGGTCAGTGCCTGTTTGGTGCTCCTTTGTCCACTTCTCCTTATGCTATGCCGAATATATTCCAAACTTCCTCGTTTTATAACTGCCGCATTTATCCAGATATTTCTCTTTGTGTGTGTGTGTGTGTGTGTGTGTGTGTGGGTCCTTTCTTGAATTCATTTGATGTAACGTTCATTGTTTTTCACCATCATCAGTAAGCACAATGCCAATTGGTGTGGGCGATCATGCCTCTCCACAAACTGTCTCTCCTGCTGCATTTGTCAGCCCTTGTATCAACACCCATCCATGCCATCAAAATTAAAAGGCTGTCAAGAATCTGCTTATCTTGTCTTCCCCTATGTCTTTTTCCACAAATATTTCCAGTGGTCACAACGTGTTCTAGTTTCCTTCTTCTCACAACATGGCCAAACAATGATGACTGTCTTCTTCTGGTGTTTGTGATAAACTGTTCGTCTCTTTCAAAACAGAGGGGTTATTCTTCTTTGGCTGTCCATGAAATTTTTAAGCAATCTTCTGTAAAACCACAGCTCTGAGGTTGTAATAAATTGTTCGACTTGTTTATTAACTGTCCAAGATTCATAACAGTATTTTCTTCTTCTTCTTCTTCTTCTTCTTCTTCTTCTTCTTCTTCTTCTTTGTTCACCGGCTGTAAGCTATGGCAGAAAGTCGTGGTTGTTTGTCCATTTGGACTTTGGCTTTGGTAATGGTAATGTTAGTTTCAGATTCATAGCAAACGGGTCACCCCATAGTTGCTCCACTCCTGTGCCAGTGAGGAACACTGCTCTAAGATACAACAACTTTACCATAGGCACTGTTGAATTCAACACTGACTGGGACTTAGATAATTAAGCGATTCCCTCTTAATGAGGTTTTACTGTAACTGTATTCATAGTTCCAAAATATGCCTTGATCTTTCATTGCTGTACAAATTGTTGTACACATTCTCCATGGTCTTTGTGTTGTACAAATTGTTGTACACATTCTCCGTGGTCTTTGTGGTGTACAAATTGTTGTAAACATTCTCCGAGGTCTTTGTGTTGTACAAACTGTTGTACACATTCTCCGAGGTCTTTGTGTTGTACAAATTGTTGTACACATTCTCCGTGGTCTTTGTGTTGTACAAATTGTTGTACACATTCTCCGTGGTCTTTGTGTTGTACAAATTGTTGTAAACATTCTCTGTGGTCTTTGTGTTGTACAAATTGTTGTAAACATTTTCAATGGTTTTTGTGTTGTACAAATTGTTGTAAACATTCTCCATGGTCTTTGTGTTGTACAAATTGTTGTACACATTCTCCATGGTCTTTGTGTTGTACAAATTGTTGTAAACATTTTCCGTGGTCTTTGTGTTGTACAAATTGTTGTAAACATTCTCCGTGCTCTTTGTGTTGTACAAATTGTTGTAAACATTTTCCGTGCTCTTTGTGTTGTACAAACTGTTGTACACGTTTCTCCGTGGTCTTCGTTGACACAGGAATGGAGCAACTGTGGGGTGACCCGTGTGCAAATAGCCTGATTACCAGGTTATGACTATTACTTTTGTCACTGACAGAAGAAAAACAGAACACCTCCACAGCCTACCTTACTCAGGCCAGGTGCTCCTCAACTGCCAATATCAAGGTAAAGGTGAGATGATCTACTTCATTGCACCGGATTTTTCCCTATATGGCTCTGTCTTTCTTCGCAAAACAGCCAGCTGCCCGCCGAGAATGCTGCACAGAGCACAACCCCGTAGCTCCGGCGACGATCCCCAGGGATCTCCATAAAAAATTCACTCGTGAATTGAACTGCGCCACCGTTAAACGAACCCACGACCTTCAAAGCGTGAGGCAAATGGTTTGACCACTTCGCCACAGAGACCCCCTAGCCAATATCAGCCTCTAAATGAATTGTGTAAATGATGCATCCTCACTAATTTTGTAATGACTAATAAATTATTTTGTGTTCAGCAACATGTGTTCATTTGTTAATATTTTAATGATGTTCTTAATATAAAAAAAAAAAGGAGAATGAAGTGACAAGCAATAATTCCACACATAAACTGTTCAAATCACCACTAATTACTGACATCGTGAGGGCTAATGCTATTCAAGACAATATTTACACCAGTGCTATGCTAACAGAGTCAGACATGGACACCGTCTCCAGAAGAAAAATAGGACAGAAATGAAATGTTTACGTATCATGCTAGGTGTAACAAGGAAAGATCACCTCTGGAATGATGATTTCAGGACAGTCAGTACTGAACCAATACTGAACTTTATCGGTAGACAACAGAGAAAATGGTTTGGCCATGTAACAAGACTGGGCAAAGAGAGAGCACCACCGAGATTAAATAAGATACAACAGTAACACATCAGAGGTCGACCATGGCAGAATATGGATCGCATAAATTTAAGACATTGAAAAGTAAATTATAAAAAGCGAACTAAAGGGTCCGTTCCAGAGATCTCTTCCTGCCCTGACGCTGCGAGGTATTCCAGGAGTAAGAAGAAAAAGAAGAGGAAGAAGAAGAAGAAGAAGAAGAAGAAGAAAAAGAAGAAGAAAAAGAAGAAGGAGGAGGAGAAGGAGGAGAATGATGAGACCTAATATACTGAAATAGTTTGGGCACATATGGAGAGAATGGCAGATAACAGAAAAACAAAATACAAGGTGCAAGTGAGGTATCCTTCATCACCCTTCATTTTCATATTTAATATGGAAAATCACAAAATACATGAAGTTGAAGTACAATTACTACAAAATACAGCGTGAAACAGCAATTCTAATAAATAATCTGGTGAACATAAACCCAATTATTACAACAGAAAATGTATCAAAAATTCCAGTATTGTAATAAATGGCTTAATACACAGTGGCGTAGCAAGGTCAGGTGGTTACCGGTGCAAAATATTTACGGTCACACCCCCTCTCCCTTTTGCCAATATATAAATGTACAAAGTAAAAGTAAAGTAAGATCCATTTTCCCGCCCTTAGGCGCATCGGGTATATGGGAAGAGCGCCCATACTTTTACAGACCAGCAAAACTAAGAGAAGGAGTTCCCCAGGGCAGTGCAATAGCACCAACTCTGTTCCTGGTTTACATAAATGATATCACAGCAACCTGCCACCAGCACGTTTCTAATACCCTACATGCCGATGACTTTGCAGTTT